GGAGTGAGGGAATGATAGAATGGGATATTGACAGGCGGATCGGTGCAGCTTCTGCAGTGATGCGGTCGATGTACCACTCTGTCGTGGTGAAGAAGGAGTTGAGCTGCAAGGCAAAGCTCTCGATTTACTGGTCGATCTACGTTCCTACTCCCACCTATGGTCATGAGCTTTGGGTCATGACCGAAACGGCAAGATGCTGGATACAGGCTGCCGAAATGAGCTTTCTCCGCAGGGTGGCTGGGTGCAACCTTTGAGCTCCTCACCCTATCTTTGAGTAGAACTGCTGTTCCTCCACATCGAGAGGAGCCAGCTGAGGTGGCTCGGGCATCTGTTTCGGATGCCTCCTGGGCGCCATCATAGGGAGGTGTTCCGGGCATGTCCCACCGGGGTGAGGCCCCGGGGAAGACCCAAGACATGCTGGAGGGACTATGTCTCTTGGCTGGCCAGGGAATGCCTCGGTATCCCCCCGGAGGAGCTGGAGGAAGTGTCTAGGGAGAGGGAAGTCTGGGCATCTCTGCTTAGACTGCTGCCCCAGTGACCTGGTTCCGGATAAGCGGAGGAAGATGGATGGATGGCCTGACACCCCCCTCTTTGGGGCCAAATAATTGGTAAACATCACTTAACTTGTATACTGAGCTTCCATATGAATGCCCTCCCATTCTTTGGCACATTTAATTGTGTATTATTGACTGTCTTAATCTTTTAGTCTCCCCTTCAGGCTCCATGGTGCTTTCATCTTTTCTTTCTCTACACATTTCTCATTTCATTGGCTTCTCTACCATGTTCTATCTGTTCTATCTGCATCAGGAGGTAAAATGTTTCAGTCTTAGAAGATATTTTGTTGAATGATGCCTTCTAGTGACAGTGGATCCAATCTTCAACTCTAAATGCTGTAGTTGTCAGGGGAGTGTGAGAGTGCAAGCAGCAAAGACACCGAGAAAGACACTTGTCTTTATGATGAGCTTTTTCTGCTTCTGTGTATTTTAATCAAATCTTATTGGACAGATTCTGACATGTGGAGCAATGACTGGACAACTACAGTGCCTGAACTAAAAACAGTAGATAAGGCAGATTCAAGACTTTTTAGATTAGAACCTACTATAAGACAGTACTTTGACCTTAGAGTCTTTGATCACTGTCTAACAAGCATAATGACCTCAGTTCACTATCAAAACGGCACAAAATAGTCCCTGGGAGAGCGCTGTATGCCTTTTATACACACAAAAAGGAAGACTTAATATTTAATGAGACCCTGGGATGCTTTTCCTTGTTTTCTGACTTATCTACAATATTACAACGATGAATTCTCATCTTAGACATGACCTAAAGCTCAAAAATGAGGTGTACGTAGTATGTTCTAGTATTTCTGGGTTCAACTGGGTTCATACACATCTCGCAAACTCTCGCTCGCGACACATTTTTTCTAACAAAATTAACCTCTAGAGTCCTGAGCTTTGGAAACCCAAGCTGTGCGGTCCTCATATGAGGACGCAGGGACTCTAGAGGTTAAGTATTACGTGATAGTTTAAGGATTTCCTTGAATTGGCATAAATCCAGCCTCTTGCACGTTAATGTGAGCTTGCCTGACATCCACCAGTGCCATTGTAAAAGTGAAATTTTTCGACTGTGCCTGGTTTTCTGGATATATTTTACCTCCTCCTTCTGTGCTAAGCTAATCTAGAGGTACCCAAGATTAAACATTAAATAGCTGGGAATGAGCAAAATGAGCATGCCATGGGCACTTTAAGTGATGTTCACAGTCAGGGGAGTGAAATGGTGTAATATATCTCAATATACAATGTCTTGCACAACATGTTGGTCTAGGGCTGGGCGATATGGCAAAAAATAAAAATCTAGGTTTTTTTCATAAAATGTGACCGATTCACGATTTTGATTTTTTTTTTTATGTGTAACTAGCCAACTTAAACACAAGTACAACAACATGACTGAAGTAACATTCTCTTCTTAAGTAACTTGAAAAACCATCAGTTTAAGAAACATTGTATTTTAGTGTGCATGCCATACATAAATTGGTCAACAAGGTGTAAATAAATGTAAAACAAATTCTCTAATGAAATGTCTTTGCAGCTGAATTAAATATGAAAGTAAATATTGAATTCTTCTTAATACAGAGTAAGAAAATAACCATTTTAAATCAATGACCAATGATTTTAACCAAT